AAAGACGAAAGAAAAAGAACTCAAAAAGAAAAAAAAAAAGGTGTGCAAACCGAAACACCTTGAGGAGAACAAACATTCACGCGCAAGTCGCTCCCCTATGCTTAGCCTCAGAGCCTCGATAGTACTCACTCAACACAATCCTCATGCATCGTAATCTCGTACCTGCCAAGAAAAACACAAAACTCCAAAACTCCCATTATTCAAAGAATGAAACTAAAAAGCAAGAGAAAATATCTACAAAAGCAGTAAATCACTTGGTTGCCTCCCAAGAGGTGCTTGTTTAACATCATTAGCTTGACGAAACCTGTAGGGAACTCAACCGGGATCTAAGAAGAAGTGACGGTCGTGCCATGCTTTCGTGTTTTCTAGTTGTGGTAGCATGGGAAGCTTGGCGAGAAGGCTGGCATAGTGGATTCGAGTGGAGATGTTCTTCTTGAAGCGGGCTCGGGCATGAGCAATCCCTAGCTCTAAACGCAGAGCTTTTCCCACACAAGCTCTATCGTCAACCTCTTGAAGTATGAGCTCATCTGTGGAGCAAGTTGAACTAAATCCCACCCACTTCGTAACACAGTGTAGCGGCCTCGGAGACGGGTGCTCAAACTCGGAGATGGAAGGAGGGACTTGAGAATCAAGCCCGTGGACCTTCTCCTTTGAAATATCATCAACGTCTCGCTGAGGATTATCATCCTCTTCTTCGGCCTCACACATTTGCTTCAAAGTACGGGCTCGAGTATCAAGCCTAAAATGGGGGTCTTCGACTGGTGCCTCAATTGTATCGGTATGTACTGTAAGGGTCTCCATCTTCATCCTCAGTCTAGCACATCCGAGCTCAATGTCCACATCTCGAGTGGTCAGGGCAAATATACGAGTAAGGATAAGGTCGAGCTTTTCATCGTATGACAAAACAGCCTCCCGAGATTCATCTCTATGTATAGACTCGCCTCGAGTGGCGGGCTCGGGAGTGACACTGTCAACTCGATCCTCTAAAGCTTGCACGTGCTCCACAAGTTCCTCGATTCTGGACTCAAGGTTGCTCTTACGGGTCGCCTGGGATGCCAAAATAGTGAGGACCTGGTCAAGCTTGGCATTGTACTCTGAGGAATCCTCGAGGGACTCACATGACTGCTCAACAGGCCTAGAATCCCACTGTTTCTCGTAAGGATCTGACTAAGTCTGGCCATAGTCCCAAGAATCGTAGAATGGAGGTGATTGGGCACACTGGCTGCGGTTTCCTCTTCCTGAGCTAACCGGGATGTTGCAAGTTCATAAATACGGCCGAGCTTCTCGTTGAATGCGTGGGACTCATAATATTGCTCGACCGGGAAGGGGTCCCGGTATTGCTCGGAAGAGTATGGGTATGACTGAATTTGGTACTCGGTGTGGTAGCTCGGCTCGTTAACCCAAGGTTGGGTGTGTGGTAAGGGGTAAACATGGTTGTAGCTCATGATACCTGCACACCAAAGCAAAACAACCACGCGTAGCCACGAAAAGAAAAGAAAAGAAGAAGAAGACAAAAGCAAGAAAGACAAAAAGAAAAACAAATATGCACAAAAGAGAGAACAAAAATATGAAAATCATGAAAATAAAAGAAACACAGAAAATAAAATCAATACCAAAACCAAATATCCTACTTGCCTTCCCCGGCAATGGCGCCAAATTTGTTGTGTACAAATTATTCTTTTTATCGAATATCGAATCGAAAGATTTGTTCCCCGAGTCGATCTCACGAGGAAGGTGGTTCGGAATTTAGCTTTGATATTGATAACACATAAAAAGAAAATAAATCCTAAACACTCTAATAAAATAGCAGATTGGCTGAATTATTAAACAAGAAATAAAATAAAGATAATAATCTACCTAAAAATGCAGACGAAACAAAGATGGAGGAGCTAGGGAGTCGGGGATAATTAATTCAAGTTCTATTTGCAAACCAGGACATTTATCATTCTATTTCAGATTGACACTCTCGCTTGAACATCTAGCGGTTCGCTCTCAATAACTCTTTGTAACAAGGGATTGAACATAGACGAACAAAGTCGAGCATACGACACAAGCCAATTATCCCATCCCAATAACTTTTCGTAACAAGGGACGGGTCATCGAAAAACGCGTATTTCAACCCAAAACCTATAGACTATTCAGTTACGAAATTGTCTACCTCATGCGAGCCTAAGTCTACGACTTCTTCCCTTTCGGTTCAAAAAGTCGCTAATTTAACTAGAAGGTGATTAATCAACTAGTCATATAGAATCAACAAAACCAAACTCAACAATTCAATATCTAATCATTACCAATCACAAGATCAAAGTGTCATCCTTTGATTATATCGAACTATCATGCACAATTTCATCAATTCTGAATTAAATCAACTCACACAAGTATGAACGATTCAAGCCCGAGAGATACAATTCAAACAAGAATAACCATTGCCCTATCCCCAGCGATACGAATTAGCTATGTAGCATGAATTCAACGCAAACAAGTAATTCACCTCACATAATCATTCACATGAATTAAACAAGATGAAAAACTTATAATTATTCCAATCCAAGCTCGAATATTGAATTCGTAATACAAGCTTAATCCGAAGAAGAACGAGAAAAATTGAAAATAAAGATGAAAAGAAGGAAGAAAATAAATAAGAAGAAGAGAAGAGAATGAGAGGAGTGTTCGTGGTGTTCTCGGGACCTTGGGTTTTTCACCCGTGGTCGAGATTTTTGTTTTTTTTTTTGTCGAGGTCCCGTCTCTCTCGTATATATAGTCGCACAGTGTCACGCCGCGGAGGGGTGTCGCACAGCGAGGACTTGATACGGAAGTGGTCATCGACCCTACGAAGCTCGAGCACGGGTCGACACGGATGCGGGATAGTCGATGGGAGTTTTGTGTAAAGGAGCAGCGTGCATGGCTCTTGGAGGTTAGGCTGAATGGCGCGCAGGGGGTGGACGTCGGGAGGTTGGCACGTGCGAGGGACTGCTATGGATAGGCTCTGGGCGACGGGGCACCGGGCGACACGCGCGGGGCGCTGGGTAAGAGCGAGGGCAGCGCTGGGGCACGGGGCGTGCGCGATAAGCGCGAGATGGTCACGCAGGCGAAGGATGTGATCGCATGCACACGAGCAAGGAGAGGCATGACAAGGATGAATAGCCTAATCCACATAGGCATAGGCAAGGTATGAATCCTAGACCCCTCAGGACTAGGAAAAGCAGCTGAGTGCTGGAACACGCGCGAAAGATCGGTGATGGGGGTAATCCTCGAAAGATCAGGCAACGTAGCCGAGAGCATATTCCTAGTAGGAATAGGCAAAGTGGATGTAGGCTCGAAGCATGATCCTTCAAGGAATAGGAATGGCGCACGCATGCCGCGAGACCTTAATCCTCAAGGCAAGAGGATAGGTGGGCGTAGGAGGCACGACCCTAGTCCTCAAGGACTAGGGCAACGCGGGGGCGGTTGGACCAAGGCGGCGGATAGGCGGCTAGGAGATGGAGTGGAGTGCAAGGCAAGACTACTTGGAGTGCAAGCCAAAGCATTAGATCCCCTAGCTATTTAGTTTCCTTATTGCATTATGACTCTTAATATTTTATTGCTTAATTAGTTCCTTAGGTAGATTAAGATTAGACATATTTTGTGCCTATATAAAGGCCCTTCCCCCATGTTATTTTTCATCATCAAATTTATCAATACAAATCCAAACTTTTGTTCATCTTCTTG